TTCAAATATACTTCTATTTCTACTTCTTTTTTGAAGGTGGACAAAGAGATTTTCATAAATGCTGCTACTTTTGACTTTTTTGGGAATGGTTACAGAAATTTTCAAATATACCAATATTTTTAGGTCTTTTGTGAAGGTGGTCAAAGAAATTTTGAAATATACTTCCATTTTTAGGCCTTTATTAAGGTGGTTACAGAAATTTTCAAATATACTTCTACTTCTATGCCTTTTTTGAAGGTAGTCAAAGGAATTTTCAAATGTACTTCATTTTTGCCCTTTTTTGAAAGTGGTCAAAGAAATTTTCAAATGTACTTCTATTTTTGCCCTTTTTGAAGGTAGTCAAAGAAATTTTCAAATGTACTTATATTTTTGGCCTTTTTTGAAAGTGGTCAAAGAAATTTTCAAATGTACTTCTATTTTTGGCCTTTTTTGAAGGTGGTTAAAGAGAATTTCAATTATACTGCCATTTTTGGCCTTTTTTTGATAGTGGTTACAGAAATTTTCAAATATACCAATATTTTTAGTTCTTTTTTTAAGGTGGAAAAGAGATTTTCAGATATGCTGTTATTTTTGCCTTTTTTTTGTGTGGTTACAGAACTTTTCAAATATACTTCTATTTTTAGGTCTTTTTTGAAGATGGTTAAAAAAATTTGAAATATACTGCTATTTTTGGCCTTTTTTGAAAGTGGTTAGAGAAATTTTTATATACACTACTATTTTTAGGTCTTTTTTAAAGGTAGTTAAAGAAATTTTGAAATATACTGCTATTTTTGGGCTTTTTTGAAAATGGTTACAAAAATTTTCAAATATACTGCTATTTTTAGGTCTTTTTTGAAGGTGGTTAAAGAAATTATGAAATATACTGCTATTTTTGGCGTTTTTTGAAAGTGGTTACAGAAATTTTCAAATATACTGCTATTTTTGGCTTTTTTGAAAGTGGTTAGAGAAATTTTTATATACACCACTATTTTTAGGTCTTTTTTAAATGTGGTTAAAGAAATTATGAAATATACTGCTATTTTTGGCGTTTTTTGAAAGTGGTTACAGAAATTTTAAAATATACTACTATTTTTAGGTCTTTTTTGAATGTGGTTAGAGAAATTTTCAAATATACTGCTATTTTTAGGTCTTTTTTGACGGTGGTTAAAGAAATTATGAAATATACTGCTATTTTTGGCGTTTTTTGAAAGTGGTTACAGAAATTTTCAAATGTACTACTATTTTTAGGTCTTTTTTGAAGGTGGTTAGAGAAATTTTCAAATATACTGCTCTTTATGGCATTTTTTGAAAGTGGTTACAGAAATTTTCAAATATACTGCTATTTTTAGGTCTTTTTTGAAGGTGGTTAGAGAAATTTTCAAATATACTGCTCTTTATGGCATTTTTTGAAAGTGGTTATAGACATTTTCAAATTTTCTCCTATTTTTGGCCTTTTTTGATACTGGTTATAGACAGTTAAACATACTTCTTAAATATACTTAAAGTTTATTTTATTTATTTATTTTATACACATTTAAATATACTTAAATATTAAGGGTTAAAGACATTTTCAAATATACGTATACTTTTTGAATTTCCAAATTTATTTCTATTTTAAGACCTTTTTTGAAGGTGGTTACAGATGTTCAAATGTATAATTTTTGTTTAATTTTTTTCACCTTATTCAACGTTTAAAAATACTGAATCTTTAAAAAATTATCCTTTTCCTGAGTCTTTCCTAATGCATGGTTGGGCATGTCTCAATAACAAAATCATGAAAATCCTGTTTTTTTCCCCTTTCACTTTCTATTTGTGAAGTGCCAAAAACAAGTTTGTTGCACTTTTTGGCAAAGTATTGATGTTCATCCGATGGGTCTCTTGTCTAAACAATAATCAAACAATGGGTGTCTGGACAATAGTTGAGAAAACAACAGCTAAAAATCAATTAGTTTTCTCACTCAATTTGTTTTCAATGTCTGTCACCATCAAAACGATGACTACATCAATATTTTCCTAACACTAATTACTCCTGGTGAAAGGTTTTTATTAAAGGCACCTACTAAATTTATTGGTTAATTCCAGTTTGATTGTGTATAATAGTTCATCTTTATTATTTGTGCAAATTGATTCAAAGTTTAGAGAAAATTGTTGATATAATTTTATTTTTGAGTTGTTTTATTTGTAAAAACATTTATACAATTATTGTTAGATAACTGGCAGATACCAAGCAATGAAATTGTCATCATCCCACCGCTTTTGGTCAAACCATGATTTTTTTTTTTTTCTTAAAACAATTTTGTATGGGTTAAATGGCGTATTGAATAGATGGGGTAAGGAAGCACTTCAAGCACAAGTGTGAAGCATTGTTTCGAGAACAAACCAATCCACTGAAGATGGCGAAGTAAGTCTGACAGTCCAAACAAGCAAGAATAGCCTGTCGGGATGATCAGATACGAACAAGCTGCCAATTTTAAATTACGTTCAGTACAAAACATGAAGCTTTTGTGGCTCAGCTTCAATAACAACTTTAGGTTCCTTGTCGATTTTGATTGTTGTCCGATGTAATGGACTGGAAGTTAACAGGAAAATCAATTTTTGCATCTTTTAAAAGCCATTGATAAATGATTGATGCACTGTATTTTTCAATAGAATTATATTTTGCACTTCACTTGTCCCAACAATAGGAGTGTTTACAAATAAACATTTATGCAGATATCAATATTTGACACCAGTGGTTACTGGTTTAAGGTTTATGCAAACAAGCATAGCGCAATAAAAAATAATGTACAGTTTTTATTTTTAAATTTCTCTATTAAATAATGTAATTAATTTCACCATTGTACTTTTTTGTAAATTTGTTTTTGAGAACTCATTTTCATACAGTGGAAAGTCGTGGTGTTTGATTTTGTAGAAAGTGTTCTGACAGCTGTTATTGAAGTGTTATGAAAAATTGCACAATCATATCCTTATTTATTATTACACAGAGTTTGTGTAATACATCACTCATTTCAACTCTTGAGTCAATGTCAATTTTAACTTAATCAAAAATATACAAAAAAATTATTTTTCCCAGCGATAAATCTAAGTAGTATAGATAAATACTCAAGATATGACATCAATTTGAAATTGAAGATTAATTATGGTACTGCTATAAATAATGTCAATGTTTACACACAATAATTAAAGAATAAATTAGTAGATAAAAAGGTTTCAATTTTTTTTTAATGTAGGTCTTATCAGGTTGATTTTTTTGTCATGTCTTGTTTTCTTTGACCTTTAAAAAGTTTTACATTTGATTGAATTATTATTATATAAACATGGCCACGAAGATATTTTTAAACTGACGGTCTCACTATATGACTCATGTCAATTGATTTAATAGTTACCGGATTGATATAAATACAACACTTAAAATTACCATAAAATGACATACTATTTTAAAAAAAAAATCTTAAACAAAACTGGAGATTTCAGAAATAAAAGATTAAAAAATGTAATACGGTGTCAAGTTTTGATAATCTGCCAATAAGCTATTCATATCCTGTTTTAAACACTTGTTGCATCACAATGTTTTAAATGTTTCACAAACTAAGCGTTGCCTCATTCAGTAATAAAGTATACCGCATAAAATTATATACTTTCATGACATGGTTTAACTAGTTTTTTTATAAACTTAATTTTTAATAATCATAAACCTCAAATCTCGTCAAACAAAAATTGTCAACCTAAAATACTAGAGCTCAACTTTGTAATTTACCTAATCCTTTATTTGTACATTAAAAATGTCATTAGGGGAAATATCTTTGTAGAAGTTCAATGAATCTTCCAATGCTAATTTGATTAGACTTCATAATAAATTAGTCTGAAATAAATTTCCAAGGGCTTTGCTGGGATTTGAACTCAGAACCACTAGTGTGGCAAATACAAGTCCAGACACTAACCACTCGGCCACCGCAGTCCCGACTTTCTCAAATAGTCAATTCCATCAAGCACAAAAGAAATTGGAAGCAATCTCAATTTGACAGCCACAAATCTTGTCATGAAATTTAAAAAAATTTGGTCTGTGAACTACATTTTAGTTTGATATCGAAATCTCTACGTAGGATGACAATGTTAGCCTGAAGGACCCTTGTGTTTATTGGTTATGATAATTAAAAAATTATCCAAAGGAATATTGATGAAATTGGAAGCAATCTCAGTTTGAGAGCCACAAATCTTGTCAGGAAATTTAAAAAAAATTTGGTCTGTGAACTACATTTTAGTTTGATATCGAAATCTCTACGTAGGATGACGATAGCCTGAAGGACCCTTGTGTTTATTGGTTATGATAATTAAAAAATTATCCAAAGGAATATTGATGAAATTTTTATTAACTAAAAATAGATCTTGTCTATATAAATTTGCTTTCATTATTGAAATTCATGTAAATGTTATTTGTATGGAAATAATGTTTTCATGACCGGAGTCAATTAATCGACGAAATCTTGCCTAGTCATGTCTTTTGTTTATACATGCATGGAAATCAATAAGCTTATTACAAGGATGTTGATTTTTTTTTTAGATATTTCCTTTACTTTAAAAAATTGACTATAATTTCATTTGTTTGTGAAAAGAAAACTACCTTATAAAAATAAAAACGCTTCTCTGCCTTTTGATAAATTTAGATCATTTCGGTGTTCTAATTTTCAAATTGTCATTTGTATTCAGTTAAAATTAGCATTGAATGAATATTTACTATTTGTTATCTTATAGTTAAGTAGAATAGCTACAATAATAAAACGTTTTATTTTTCAGCACTTCAGAGGTCAAATGTTCAATTATTAATTTTTCATTCTGATAAACAATGAATTGTTAATTAGACATCATATGCTACAATAATATTTTTAGCTTTTATTTCTATTCAATAATTTTTTAAACAAATAAATTAGGACGTAATAATTTTCTGGCATTATTTAATTATTTATATAAACCTTCAGAAATAGTGAAATGATTAATTAAATTCCGTTTTTGTTTGTTACTAGATAAACTTTGTCGCATCACAATTACTGGCTGGGATCCTTGCCATTATATTTGGGGTGTACATAAGGCCAAGACCGGATAATTACGAAAAACGTCTGTGGTACTTGTTAGTGTTTGGTTTTTTCATAGCAGTAGTCACATTTGGCCCGTAAGTATATTGGAAAAACAAATTTCTTATTGTATTTTTAAATGTTAAGGAGTTCTGAGAACAATCCTGCAAAATTTTTAATACTTTATTCAAATCATGGCTTGATTAAAATGGAATGTTTTTGTTTTGTCATTCTTTTTAAACTTTTTGTTTAGGTAATTAGTATATTTAAAATATTTTATAAATAACGTTGTATGAAGAATAGTTTATGTAATAGATGCATCTGAATCGTAAAGATTTTTGTATTGCTGAAGAGAAAGCAGGGCTTTGAAATATATACAATTTATATATACATTAAAACAAAAACAAAATTAAAAACTGGTAAACTGTTCTTCATAAAAAGTTAACTAAGAGATATTTAAAAAGAAGCAATTTTTGGAATAATAACAATTAAAAAACAAAGTTGTTTTAAAATATTTACTTGAGTAAATTTATTCTTTTTTTCCAGGCAAACATTTCATTTAATTCTATTACCTTCAATATGTTACATCCCTATGAAATTCATGAAATCAAAATTGATGCCTTGGTAAGATAAATAATTCATTATGTTTATTTTTGTTATATTAATGTTTTTGTTTCCTTCCAGTTATGTTTTAACAATAGCTATGTTCTATCTTTCTCTGGTACACATCCATCGGTTGTGGTACGGAGCTGTATCATTGGACATAACAGGTATATAATGAGATAAATTGAAAGAAAGTAAAATAACTCAATTAACTTTTTTTGGTAACAGGCCCAATGATGGTAATGACACAGAAAATAACTTCTCTAGCTTATTGTATACAAGACGGCAGCCTTCAATCACAGGATTCGTTGACTAACACGCAGAAATACTATGCTATTAAGTAAGTTGGAAATCTGTTTTTATTAATAGCATTTTATTAAAAATTTGTCAGTAGATTAATTTTTTTATTTGTAGGGAAGTGCCGGTCTTGCTTGAATACTTCAGCTATATATTTCAGTTCCAAACCTTAATGGCAGGACCTTTCATACTATTTAAAGACTTTAAGGAATTTATAACCGGAAGAAACTTCAAGAAATATGAATATGTCATGGTATGTTTAATGAGGATTTAGATAGTTGTTTGCATTTTGTGAGTCAATATTTGACCAGCTTATCTTGTCATTCTAATAGAATAATATTTATTAAATAAATTGTTTTCTGTTTGTTGTAGTTAAAAGACTTGAAGGATCCCGGTTTGTACTGTGAGCCTTCCCCTTTCATACCAGCAATGCAAAAATTAATTGTTAGTGTTATTTGTGCATTAGTATTTATACTTGTCACATGCCCAATTGAAAGGCTAAAAGGTAAATATAACTCCACTATTTTTCGTGGTCTGCTTGACCAATTATCATTCAATTAATTAAGGTTTTAAGTTGAGATAAAAAATTTTGGCCATTTCATTTGTCGCCGAGAATCAAATAAATTACACGGCATTTGAAAAATGGCAAAAAGGAGGGAAAATTCGAAAGGTGCGGTTGAGTTGAGAAGTTGGTGACCGAGTGGATCGAAGTCACGATAGCTCAAGTGGTAGAGTAGCAGTGAATCAAGCCAAAGGTTTGGGTTCGAATCCCACTTGTGATGCTGACTTTTTTATCTCAACTTAAAACCTTAATTAATTGAATGGTAAATATAACTTTAAAAATAATTCATTATGATGAAAATGTTAAATTCAAACAATTTAATACAGTACAAATAAATTTAATTTTACCATAGTTAAAATATTTTTGCTAAGAATTGCACCAAATTAAAATTAGTTGAGATTGAACAAACGCTATGTGCTAGATGAAAATCTTGGCCCTTATCCTTACTCTTGAGTCAATGTCAATTTTAAATTAATTAATCAAAAATATACAAAAAAATTATTTTTCCCAGAGATAAATCTAAGTAGTATACATAAATACTCAAGATATGACAACAATTTGAAATTGAAGATTAATTATGGTACTGCTATAAATAATGTCAATGTTTACACACAATAATTAAAGAATAATTTTTTTTTTAAATGTAGGTCTTATCAGGTTGATTTTTTTTTGTCTTGTTTTCTTTGACCTAAAAAATTTTACATTTGATTGAATTATTATTATATAAACATGGCCACGAAGATATTTTTAAACTGACTGTTTCACTATATGACTCATGTCAATTGATTTAATAGTTACCAGATTGATATAAATACAACACTTAAAATTACCATACATGACATACTATTAAAAAAAAAATTTTAAACAAAACTGGAGATTTCAGAAATAAAAGATTAAAAATCTTAAATCAATAATCCCGCTTGTGACGCTGACTTTTTTATCTCAACTTAAAACCTTAATTAACTGAATGGTAAATATAACTTTAAAAATAATTCATTATGATGAAAATGTTAAATTCAAACAATTTAATACAATACAAATAAATTTAATATTACCATAGTTAAAATATTGTTGCTAAGAATTGCACAAAATTAAAATTAGTTGAGATTGAACATACGCTATGTGCTAGATGAAAATCTTGGCCCTTATCCAGTCATGTCTACTTCTTAAAGATTAAATTTCTTGTCTAGTATGCAACAGTTAAATTAAAAGTTTGGCCATTTTCAGACGAGGATTTTCTGGCAAAAGGCATTCCATACCAGATGTGCTATATAATCTTGGCCACCTCACTAGTTCGATTTAAGTATTATCATGCTTGGATCCTTGCCGATGCGATATGCAACCTATCAGGTCTTGGTTTCAACGGATACGATCCGATAACTAAGAAAGCAAAGTGGGATTTAACTAGTAATGTAGATATTTATAATTTTGAGGTAAGTTAAATCATATTAGACAAAACTTTATTAAGAGTTATCTTAATACGTATATATTATTTTTAGTTGGGAACAAATATTCGAGAGTCGATTGACAGTTGGAACAAAGGAACGAACCTGTGGCTCAAACTTATAGTATATTCACGGGTTAAAAAATATAATGTTCTGCTAACTTATTTATTGTCGGCTCTTTGGCATGGGTTCTATCCCGGCTATTATATGACTTTCTTGAGCGGAGCATTGTTCACAGTTGCTGCGAGAGTTGTAAGTTTTGATTTAATTTAAACGCCCTTAAAAATTTCTCATTGTCTGACATAACAGGTGAGAGGAAGTCTCAGGCCTTATTTCCAAACTTCACAAAGCAAGATAATGTTTTACAACGTGCTGACCATATTTGTTACAAGGATCATCATGGGCTACCTTACTTTCAGTTTTGTACTACTTGAGTTCTGGGCGAGCCTGCTTGTCTTCTGGTAAACAATTTGTGCTATTTATTTCAGAAACATACCATTAACTACAATTCTTTTCTTTTTTTCAGGCATATGTACTTCTTCCTTCATATATTGGCTGTGCTGTCGATCGTATTTCTCCCCAGATTATTAGGTCCGACTGAAGCGCCATTACGTAACAGACTGACAAAATTAGTTGCTAATAGTAATGGTGTTAACAGCCTACATGGATAGTACACTTAAAAACAGCTTCAGAACAGCTTGTCGCTGTTTTAACTTTCACCGACTCTTTTAGACTTGTCTCTTTGTCGTATTTAACATTGAGAATTAAGACATGCATTTAATTTACTTGTTGGAAAAATCAAGTATAAAATTGTTCAAGCAAAGTGGAGCTCAAAGGCTTTTTTGTACATTGAATTCTTTTTAGAGTTAGTTATTCGACGTTAGGAAAGGATTTTATTAATTCTGCACAACTGTGTAACTTTTTGGCATAAATGTTACAGAAGCACATTGAGATAGCACAACGTCTTTTGATGTTAAAATGATAAAATTCTGTTGTGCGTAGGCTTTTAGCTTCAAAAGGTGCTTCCAGTTAAAAAAGGAAAGACGTTTGATAGATTTTGAAAGTGATAAGGGTTTTTTCCTTGTACTCACTAAACTGTCTAGCTTATAATTGTTTAAGTAACACAAAATAACACATTTTTATTTTAGTACTTTCTTTTAAGCAAAATGTAGGCTGTTAAGTTAATTTCTTGTTTCTAGTAGTTAAAAGTCTTCCATTGTGTTTTCCACGCATAATAGGTGTAATTAAGTAAATTGAATTGCTGAAAAATACAAATTAGCTGCAAGAAATTGGAATGAGACTAAAATTACATTGATGTAGCAGTTATGATTAAAAAAAAAAAAAAAAAATTGGCTGTGCTCTCATTTCAAGGTAGAATCGTGCTGCATTACATTCTGAGCTAACTGTAAATACATTTGTCTATTCTTGTATATTCGTTTATTTTGAAGGATAAGCATTTTTAGTCCTGTTATTAATATTTGTGCATGAAGCAAGTTTTCGATTAAATGTAATCCTGGGAATGGTTTACAGAGAATATATTAAACAGCATTATTTTAAATTATTGATTATTTAATGATTAAGAGGCGATGGAATTCAATTTACATATACTACGAGCTAGAATTTGATCCAGTCTCTGTGATCAATTTTAAAAAGTTCAGTAATAAAACGATAATTGAAGAACCTTTGAGCAGGCTTTAATAAGGTGTCCGGGTAGATTTATTCGACTAATGTACATTTAAATAGCAATTAGAGTTTTAAAATATAAGGAGAATTTTCACATAATTTTATAATATTCAATGCTAGTCAGTGCCTAGGAAGATTTACTTACTCATTCATTAACAGCCCTGCTTTTTCTGTAGACCCAATTGGTTGTGATGGCTGTAAATAGTCCTAACAAATTTGTATTGTAATGCAACGAAATTTAAAAAAAAAAAAAGGAAATTGATTCACTTTAACTTAGTGTTGATTTTCCTACTTGTATAATATGTCAAAATTTGCTTTTATAAATTATTACATTTAAAAATAATAATTTAATAAAAAACATAAAGAGACTGAAGATTTGAAAAATTGGATATTTTGGTTAAAAAAAATTAAAAAAATAAAAAATTAAGTCTGACATTTTTGTTGTGAAAATGAGTGCAGAACCAAAATAAAACCTCAGCATCAATTTGAAAGTTAACTAACATTTTAGAGGACAAAATGTTTCCTTTTATTCCTTAATTTATGTAAAGTACTGCTTCCTTGTTTAAATTTATTTTTTTAGCTTATTATTGTTAACATGTATATACATATTTAAAAAATGGACAAATTTATTTATAACAAAAAAAGCTAGTCGATTTAAAAAAAAATTAAAGCTTAAATAATTATTTTGCAACATTTAATTTAATTTTATAAGAAGGAGGGTTTGGAAAAACCTTCATGATTTTTATTAATAAAGTGAATAATATAATGCTAGTTGTTAATTGGACATTCCAGGTTTTTTCTTTTTGGTTTTTTTAATTGAAGGACTTGGCAATACTTATTTAGCAGCTTAACATTTAATTATTCTTTTTATGTAAGGTCTTGGGGATTCGAACCCACAACCAACATAAGTTGCTGAGAATTGAATCCTGATTACAGAACATTTGAAAATGGCAAAAAAGGGAAAATTCGAATGGTTGTAGGTTGAGTTGGAGGGTTGGTTTCCGATAGGATCGAAGACACGATAGGTCAAGTGGTAGACCAGCGGCGTATTTAGCCGAAGGACATTGGTTCGAATCCTGCTGACGACTTTTTTTATCTCAACCAAAACGTTACATAAAAAGAATAATTAATTGAAAGAAGTAACTTGGTCAATTAGACCACTAAAACATTAATTTTAACTTGACTCTTTAATGAGTTACAATTAATTGCAGTGTTTAAGATAGGAATAAAATAAAGCATAATTGTTGTCTAAACATGTATTTTTCTTATTGGTGATTTTGCTACGTTCTTAAATTAGCGATTTTGCTGTTTGTTGACAAATGTGAGTTGGAATATTGTAAATTCTAGATTAATGGACAAATAATTAATTAGATGAATGCATTGTTGATAATTATAATTTTATGTATGTATTCAAAAAAAGGATATGATCCTGAAGACCAAAGCAATTGTTCAGTATTGACAGGTGTCACAATTTTTATTCATTGTTGCAAAAGAAATGCAACCCATTGATAACAAATTTCCGATTTATGGAGTTCTTTTTATTTTATAAGCATTTTTGTTAATATTTTGTAAACAAGAAAAAGGGGTATTGTGATTGATATTCCCATGACAAACCAATTTACAAGTGTTGTGATTAATTTCCTAACAAAGAGTATAATACATTGTTCTTATTTGTGATTTGGATCTTAATATATATATTTATGTATTATTATAAGTTTCCCACCTAAATTGGCCGTGTAATTTTATTTTGGACCTCCTTTATTGATTAAAAAACAAAATTCAGATCAGGTGGGATGTATTAATGATGGTTTTTTATTAAAATTTTTATTCATATAACGTGAAATTTGTTACTGCTGTCCTCCCAGGCAATCGTTATAATCTTCACTAAGATTTTGGCCAAACTGAAAATAAAAATCTCGTTTTTTTTTTTCTCTATTAATGTAATTTTTGTTTGTTTTTCTTTTGACAGGAACATACTTTGTGTTAAAATCTGTTAAGTAGCAATTCTTGGAGATTTTGATGACAAAAATAATGTATTGTTTGGTTCTTTAATAGATTGATTTCAGGGTGCTGCCCGCTCCTACTCTTTAACTGTTTCAACTTAAAAAATAAACAATTAACCATAATAAAAATTAAAAAAATATCCCATTGGTAAATACGTCGGGTTCGAATGCAGTGCCGTTACTTTTGAGTGATGAGCCCCTAACCGTTGTGGCCTTCGAGGCCCCCAGTCATTTTTATTAATTGTTAACATGTTGGTTTTTTAATTTAAATAATAATTAATTTAATGTTTTTCTCTATCTATGAAATATAACAAATAACATAAAAAATAAATCTAAAATACAATCTTTTGGAGAAACAATATCAATTTATGATGGTAATATAGTTTTTATGTTTTAAAGGACTTGTAGCTCTGAAAATAAGGATTCTATCACTTTCATTTAAAGTATGCTTGATGAAATGACATCTAAGAAAGCATCCCACCAAAGATGATTATAGGTAGGTCATACAGCATTAAATCCGTTAAATTAAGTGCGAACAAGAATGTGTAAACTGGGCACCGTGGTAGCCAAGTAGTTAGGACATCCGACCCCTAGTCTATATCAGTGGTTCTAGGTTCGAATCCCAGCATAGCCCTTGGAATTTTATTTGAGATTAATTCAAAAAACGTATTTTAAACGTGGTTTGACCATACTGTATGACATGTATAAAAAAAGATGTAAACAAACTAAAAAATAAATGGGATGAAAGGATGGTTTAACAAAAGCAAGTCAAGTGTGTAAGTAGTACAAATTTATATATCTTTAAAATTTAGTTAAAAATAGGAAAGAATCTGCAAAAGTTATATGAACTGATGGTATCGGGGTTTAGCACAGTATTTTATGTTTATGTTTAGCACCAGTGAAATCTTGCAGTTGACACTGCATGTTGGCCATAAGGCAGTGAGCTTATGCTGCATGAAACTTGAGAGCTAATAAGTGACCTGATGCCAGTTTAGATGCAGGTTCAGTGTGAGTCTTATTGTTGTCAAGTGTTGGTTCAATTACTGAAACTCTGCCATCAGCCAAGAATTCTCTTAAACTGCTCTAACTCGATGTACCTTCCAGGAGATGCAAAATTTGAATTTAAAAACTTCTTCCCCCCCTTTCAATTTCGACGGTTAGGCGTCCAAATCACGAGGTATACTTTAGTACACGGAAATACTTTTACGACTTGTGCTATGTACCCCTATCTCACACTTTCAACAATATGTCTCGTATTGGGTGTCGAGATCCTCACTCAAGACGGTGCAATGCCAAAACGCATTTGAGTAGTTCAACAAATCCATGAATGAAGATGGACCCGATAAGTGACCCAGTGCGCCGTTTTCAGCATAGTGAAATCTTCATTACTTATTCATATAATCAGTACTAAATATCATAATTGCCTGTTTTGTTATATTAGCTTTAAATGTTCTTTATCAACATTACACTGATGTATCTCTTATTATGCATATGTTGAAGAATAAAACAAAGATTCATGATAAATTATGATTACTAGTAATAATACAGACTATTTCTTTTATACAGAATTATATAGATAGATTCTTTTATATAGAAATATATAGATTTAACTAGACTATTTATGACACATAAAAAGCTTCTTTCTAATAAGAAATTTATTTTTCATTTACACTATAGATAAAGAAGAAGAGCCTCCAGAGCAGCAAAATGGTTCACAAAGCTCCTCACTGAAATTTCCTATTCATGAGTTAAAAAAGTCCAAGCACGTGAAATTATAAAACACTTTCATGACAGTATTTCATTTTTCTTATGATATAATAATGAAATATAAAAATAAATACTATTTTGATTTGTATTAATTAATTAATTTCATAATGGGCTTATAAATATTGCAAGTTCAGAGCAATGTCAATAACAATTGACAGGTTTTTAATTTTATCTTTATATTGCTATAGTATTTGTTATATTTTCATGGTTTTATAATTTAGATGGTTGGTATAGATAAACAAAACAAAGGTGGCGTATTTTTATTATTATTATTATAATGGATGTATGAGACTCCATATGAGGTAAGAATTGGGGAATGACCGATTTGGGTTGCTGAGGATGGGCCAATGAGCCCGAAATATTCATTGTAATAAAAAATAACGCCTAAAAACACTTGGTATTACTTATACACCAACCATATATGTGAAATTATAATTATTATTAACAGTTAATTTTTCTGGCAACGTCTGGCTTAAAATTTTTCAAATAGAGCATTTTTCCTTAAATGAAAAATGTTATAAAAGAATCAAATTGATCTTGTATTGTTTTTCCACCATCACTGAAACTTAAGAAACTTTACACTTAAAGTCAAATAAATTGATTTTAACCTAAATTATTAGGTTAAGTTGGTGAACGTATGCTTAACAAAAGGGTTGACACTCGGTCACTTACTTCTCTACTTGAAGATGGTGCAAAGCTGAAATTTGAGTAAAATCAAAACCAAAAACGAGCTTAGATGAACATATTTTCTAGTTCAACATGAGCTTGATGATGAAAGGATACTAGAAAGCGGGGGTTCGGTATTCTGCAGCCTTTTGGCTTACTGTATTTTGCCTAGTTCCTTATTCTGTTCAACTGTCTTGATCCTTGTATGAAGTAGTAAGTATTGACTGACATTGCAATTCTTTTTCCCAGGTCGTCTTGGTACCTAGGTTATGTTTCCACTGAGCAGTTGCTTCGCATTCAAAAATGATATGGGTGGAAGTTTCTTCACATTGCATAACCTACAAATGGGGTCATCATTGAATATCTCAGATGCTAGTGACCAGTATATAGTCCTGTCATTTTGCTGAGTTTTATCTTGTCTAACTTCAGTAATTTGTTTGCCAGTTTTGGTGAGGGTTGTTTAACCATGAGTTTACTGTGTCTGGTAGTTCATCCACTTATTTTGTTTTGTGTACTAAGTAGGAAGTCTTATTTTTGATCTTGTTCTCCCAATTATTGGTTCTGGGCCTATGGTCTTGCCGATCCTCCTCTGGTCGGTTTGTCTACATGTTAGTTACCCAGAATTTCTTTGTGCCCTGATACCAAACATATTGTCAAGTGTTTTCCAAGTTTGATCTTTACAACAATAAATATATTTAATTTGCAGAAATACAATATGCTATTGTTTTATTTATTAATAATCCATATACCCATTCCAATTATAATTACTGTTATTTCTTTACATACATGTAACCAAACATCTAAAGATCATTAGGTCCTTACTTAAATTACAAATTGGATATGCTGTTGAACCAAATGGGTTTGACATTTTAGGTTGTCATATAGTTAGTCTCATCACTTGCATCCACACCTCTACAACATACAATTTTGCATTGCTGAACATCTTATATTTGTAAATAATTAAATAGCTCAAGCTGTTTGGACTATCTAGCAATTTGACATAGATATCAGGCATTATCATCTTATAAAGTTCTCATATTAATTCTCAACCATTGGTATAAACCAAGTAGCTGGTTACTTGGTTCTGATTTAGACCAGTAATGTTCCAAGTAAAGTGTTTCTATTTATCCTCCAGTTTATAAGTAATTTGGTCGTTTCCGATCATTTTGGTCTGATTATGCTCACTGTTTTGGTCTGTAAAGTATTAAAGGTCATCTGCGATTTAAGCCATTTTCACCTATAACTGTTTAAATTGGGGTTTCACAAACTGTGGTCCCTGGCGGTCTGAACTTTGAGAAAAAGTAATAATTGCAAAAATAAATGGAAAATGAATAAATACAATTTAAAAACTAACAACAATGAGTACTGAAAACGAAAGTTTGTTTTGCAGCAGCAGCCATTATGTTCTCCACAGATATGCTTTAGCTATGAACCAAATGTCAGCCTCTTGTAAAAACATTTTTGATGAGTCTGTTCAAATTATTAGTTATGTATGGTGATTAGTGACCGTTAATCGATAATTATTCAGAAATCGTGAGATGCGGTCTGGTGTGATTGAAATACTTTGATTGAATATAAAAAATATATTTTGCATTGTATAAATTCACTTTTCCACATCCTAAATGTATTTGTTAAATGTAAACAATTTATAAATCCCAATATATAAATTAATTTATAAATTAAATTAATTTATAAATTAAAATAAAAACAAATTATAATAAATTTGTAAATCCCAGGCCCTGAAGATGATCTTAATAAAGATCGAAACTTTGGCACGATAAAGAAAATGTTATTCTGAAACCTACATCACACCAGACCGCATCTCACAATTTCTGAATAATTATTAGTTATATCAAGTAGTAGCCATGGAAGCCAAGATTTTTTACAATACTATGGGTTGATGTGAGCCTTCATCATTCCCAGCTTCACCATACAGAAGTTAGGTGGCTGTCTTGGGAGAAAGCACTTTCACGATTACAGGAATTGTATTCTGAAGTCTTATCTTTATTGTTGGACCACAATTTCAAATTGGCCAATTTTTTTAATGATGAGAAGTGGCAATGTATTCTGACGTTTTTATAAGATATTTTCATTAAAATGAATAAGATCAGCCTTTCTTTGCAAGGGAAGAATGTCACATCTTTCAATGCCTAGGACAAAGTTCACGCCTTCAAAAGAAAATTCCAGTTTTGGGTTTATCTTTGAGAAGGAAAAAGTGGAGTCTGGATTTTTTTAAAGAAAAACTGGAGTTTTGGAATGGGACGTTGGTTGATGTGTGAACACCTTCGAAGTTGGGAGATGTCCTTTGTGCACTACTTCTCAACTGCTCGAGATACAATGCTGGAAGACCAGAAATTGGTCGTCAAACCGTTCTCAATTTCAACAATCTATCTTCAACTGAATACAAATGCTTGATAGACATTACTTCAGACTCCACCTTGAAATCTATTTTCGAGTCCGATAGTTACTCCTATTTTTGACTCCGTCTGCAAAACAAAAAATTTCAACCACTTGTTGAAAAAGCAAAACGTCCATTTGCCACAACTTACCTATGCGAATCTGGATTTTATATTTATACAGCCACCAAAACTAACTACGGAAACTGTCAAGATGCTGAAACCGACATCCATCACAAATCACAAATTAAGCCCAACATATCCAAGTTGTGCTAAAACAACCCCACTCTTCCTATTAATTCATTAATCATTAATGTTCAAATTATTACTTTTCAAAATTGGCTCGAGTTTTCCATACCTACTGATTCCGTTCCAATTTGATTTTTGTGTTCCAGATTTTGTAAATAAATGTATGACAATTTTATGTTTGTTTTCGTAGTGATATCCCTCTCCATCACCTAATTAGGGATGACTGGTTAATGCTGATTTATAAAACTTTAATTTACTACATACATATACTTTAAGTATATAATTTTAAATACTTGACTGCGAGGGGTTCGCCCTGGATTTTGTTCTGTGAAAGGCGTTTTTTGGCCCTGGCTAAAAAGTTAAGGAAGCGACGTCAAAAACGATATTTTTCCATTTAGTCGAAGTCTGTGACTTTATTCGAATTAAACATTTTGAGAGTAATCAATAATAATAGGGCGTTTAATCGAAAATATTGTCTTCTGTGTAAAGTTGCGTAAGCTCAGTGACGCAACTATTCTTTCACAAGATGCTCTACTTCGATGGGGCTTCCTTTCATATTTTACTACAGAGTACAGAGACGTAGCTGAAGGAAAATGGCGAACAGACAGGAAGTAGGATTTGCAGCTATCTCAGGCCAGAAATTGATTTTTTGGGAGAAAGGCCCCCCTATCCTAATTGAACACGGGCGAATAGTCGATTTTTTTGGGTGTAAAAGTTGATTGTGGTTTTGCGCAACCTAGGGAATATTTGAGGCTTCAGGAAGTAAACGTATTTGGCACTTTTGAACCCTTTATTGACCACATAATTGACGGGTCTCATTTTATTCCGAACTGTATTTGTTAATTTTTTCTAAACAAAACCTTAAACCTTGACTATCGAAAAGTATTCATGGCGTATTTTCGGTCGACTAGAAAAACCTAGTTAACTCATAAGTATTAATTAGAGGTAACTGTTTTTACACGTGGAAAATATTTACTCGACACACTGACCCGGTGTTTTGAATTCGCATCGTTACCGGAGCAAACAAATACAAAAGCCTCGGAACAGCTAAACGAAATCTTTCTCCAGCGGTTTTCGTTGTGCTAATTTCTTAAGCACACAACAGGATTCCGGTGCATATTCGATTTTCTGTATTTAAGAAGCCCCGCGGATTATACTGGCTCAAACCGAGATGGAAATTGAAGCTGTACTAACGTCCCTCTTCCTTATTACAAACGTGAGTATCCTTTCTTAATGGGCAAATCATTATGAATATAAATTTTAAAAACAGCCATTAAATTCAAGATGGTTATAATTTACACTTGTGTAATAAAAAATATATGCATGTAAAAGGCGATAATTATTTAATAAATTATGAACCAATGATTTTTATTGTAGACCTTTGCAGCACCTCAAAGTCTAGATCCACAGTATGATGGATTCGAGCTGGTATCTTCATCAGTAAATTTATTGGGCCATTATGACAGCTCGTATTTGGAGATAGAATCGCGAATGAATGACTGTAGTGGAACAACGAGGGTGAAATGTTATAACGAAACGGCTGTCAGTTTGTGTACTACCGGAGGGCAGAGAATTATCCCTTGTCAGGGTCTCACCCCTAAATGCAACCCAGTCCTCAACGTCTGCGTTTCTGGAAGGGTAGTTTTAAGAGCAGCAGAATTCACCTGTCCTGCACAGGACGGCTACTATCCGGATTTAATGTCGTGCAGAAAATATTATTTTTGCGCCAAGGGCAAAGCCAAAGAGTACAACTGCGACGTTACTGATGTATACGATCCTAAGACGAGATCGTGTGTGAGGCATCTTGGTAATCAGTGCTACAGATTCCAGTGCATTGGAAAGCAAGGGAGGTTCACACCATACCCCGGAGAACCAAATATATATGCGATTTGCTCAGGAAACCAACCGGTCGAATTGTTCAGGTGCCCTGATGGATTGGGTATGAACGAGCGGGAACAGAATTGTAAACCACTTTGCGAAAAAGAAGGTTAATACAAATACAATTTAAACAATTTATGAATACTATTAAATCAAATTGTGTTTCTAGGTTTAATCAAAGATCAGACCTCTTGTCAAAAATACCACGAGTGCACGCGATTACTAACAGGGTTCAGAGTCAGGGACGGCGAGTGCCCAGCAGGATCTTGGTTCAACCCAACTTTTGGCCAATGTAGGATGCTCGAGGATGAAAAGGATTGCCCGGAAGCTTTTTATCCTGAAGAAGATAATAATAGCACAACCCCAGAGTTTCCTGAGACCACCGAAATGACACCCAAGACTACGTCGACCACAGAGACACCTGAAGAAGAAGACAGCGAAGGAGAAATCGATGAAACATTTGAGGCAACAAGAACAAAACAACGAGTTTGAACAACATGGAACTGTTTTTATCATTTTTATAGAACTATTTATTAATTTACAAAAATCATGAATTTTCATTATGCAGAGATTATAAATTATTTATTTAAAAAATGATGTTAATTTTGTTTTAATTTTTGGTTATTTTTGTAAAAATCAAAATTGTACAATCAATATTTAATCATAAATTCACTTTATGTAAATGCGTAAAGTTTCTAAATAGCACCCACTCAATTAGAATTTTGTACTTTTTTGTACGTAAACATCCTAAAAGTAATAAATCATCATTTACAAAAACTAATTAAGGTTTTTAGTTGAGATAAAAAAGTCAGTCACGAGCGGGATTCGAACCCACGACCTTCGACTAGATAAGCCGCTACTTTACCACTTGAGCTATCGTGGCTTCGATCCACTGGGATACTAACTTCCCATCTCAACGTCACCTTTTGAATTTTCCCTCCTTTTTGCCATTTCTAGCCGAAGGTCGTGGGTTCGAATTCCGCTCGTGACACTGAGATTTTATCTCAACTAAAAACGTTAATTAATTGAAAAATATTAGTTGGTCAAGCGGACCACGAAAACTAGTGAATTTAACAAGTTAAATGAGCTTCACTAAAGCTCCCCGTGGCCATTTCATTTGTCGCCGAGAATCAAATAGATTACACGACATTTGAAAAAGTAGCGGCGTATCTAGCCGAAGGTCGTAGGTTCGAATCCCGCTCGCGACACTGACTTTTTTATCTCAACTAAAAACCTTAATTAATTGAAAAATATTAGTTGGTCAAGCGGACCACGAAAGCTAGTTAATTTACAAAAACTTTTTTTAAGAAATTGATCTCTAACAAGTGAATTATTAAAGCAGTTGAAAACTATTGTTCTTATAAATTGGGTTTTGTCAAAAAGTAAAACTGATAATTCAAGAAAATGTCACTACTTAGAGACATTATTATATTTTCTTTGTTTTAGTACTGGTTTTAGTAGTTAATTGTCTGTTTGTGTGTTTTCCTATTTCACTGGACTTACCATTGTTAACAATGAGGTTCGTTGAGTTTGAGAACGTGAAAGCATACTAGTAACAAATGAATCGGTTCGTTTTCAATCTGCAAGTCATTTGTATACCGTTCTGTATGGATTATTAACTCGGTAGCCGTTGGGTCGATGGCAATTAGGCAATTCTCTTGTTAGCCTTTGAGATTGATGACGGCGAGGTGTCTGTCGATTGCTTTGACAAGGGTAATTAATCGTTTGGTACAAGAAATATAAAAAGGCCCAAGGCTCGCGTGCGTAGCGAAATAACACCGGCAAACTGCTCCAAATGGCAAATAAAATAGCTATTGTCTGGCGCAATTTCGAGGTCTTGCCATAGCCGGAAATTACAATGTTTAAATACGGCTGGTATTTCGCAACTGGCTGGTATTTCTGCGTCCCAGATCATGGGCCGAACAATGCTCCGATTCATTAAACGTTTTAGAACGGTGCCGTTTCCACCTCGCTCATTAAGGAACTCTTAAGACGAAGAACTGCCGGAGGCTCCAGTTGACATTTTCAACGTTCGGCCAGGCGCCGCTCAGAAGTGGGCAAATTGGTTTTAAATTGCTTGACGAATAAAAAAGACTGTTTATCGGTTTAGAATGAAATTTATTATTATTAAGAAGCTTGGCGCGTGTCAACGATACATTCACTACTTAAAGAAAGATATCTGAGAAGGTCTCAAATTAAGTGTGTAAAAACCCACTCGGTCCTCTACAAGGTCTCTATCAATATTTTTCAGTTAGAAGTATCGTCCACTTTTTAACTTACGTACACTCAGGATCAAGGTAGGGTCTTGAAGAATAAAGCAAATTTAGTTGCTACTGCCAAATTTTCGACCTATTCTATCATCATCAGGGCAAAGCATCCTTAAATACGTCTACAGAATGGCATATTTAAGTTTTTACAAACGGTCTTAAATTTCCGATTCAGTATCAACATTGCCAAGGACTGTAACAGGCCTGTAAAAACTTACATATGTATTCATTAGATTTCGTGGTCCAATTGACCAAATAGCATCTTTCAATTAATTAATCTTTATGTAAGTTATTGGTTGAGATAAAAAAGTCAGTGTCACGAGCGGGATTCGAACCCACGACCTTCGGCTAGAAATGGCAAAAAGGAGGGAAAATTCAAAATACGCCGCTGCTTACTATAGCTCAAGTGGTAGAGCTGCGGCATATTTATCCGAGCGTCGTGGGTTCGAATCCAGCTCATGACACTAACTTTTTCATCTCAACCAAGCCCTTACATAAAAAGAATAATTAATTGGAATAAGAGAATGTGATTTGCTCAACAAAGAAAACAAAATTATTATAAATAATGACGTCTCGAAAATTTATTTATTAATGAAAAAATACACCCACGAAAGTCGTGGGTTCGAATCCCGCTCGTGACACTGACTTTTTTATTTTAACCAATACCTTACATAAAGATTACTGACTGTGTTGCCAAAGAGGATGAAATCTATTTTAAAATAATTAATAATTTTAAAATAATAAATTTGGGTTATGTCCTATTAACCAAAGTTATTATTTTAGTTAACTAATCTTTATGTAAGGTATTGGTTGAGATGAAAAGCCAGTGTCACAAGCGAGATTCGAACCTACGACCTTCGGCTCAATACGCCGTTGTTCTAATCACTTGAGCTATCGTGACTTCCATCCACTCGGACACCAACTTCCTACCTCAACCCAATCTTTCGAATTTTCCCTCATTTTTGCCATTTTTCAATTGTCGTGTATTCGATTCTCGGCGACAAATGGAGGGAAAATTGGAAAGGTTGTAGGAACACTGCCAAATAAAGCTGACAGACCTCAAATTTGATCAAAGCTTGTTGTTACATAATATTCAAATTAGTATGCTCCAGCTAACAAATTATCTTACCAATTTTTTTTTCGAGTCGCATGAACATTTTTAAGACAACTCAAGAATTAGTGGCCATCTGTAGATCGAATAATCGTTATACTATCAATTTAAAATCAACAATTTTTACTCTTAAAAATTGACCTCCTGAAGAAAAGCTTCTAGATTTGGTTGTTAAGATGTTTTTCCAGCATAAATTCCAGTATAATTTCTTTAAAAAAATAACAATTGACCAATAATTAACCCTATTTTTTAAATAGTACAAAGTGAGGGTGTAATGCCCAAACTAATCGGGGTCGTCGATGGCCGCAACGTTTTAGGCGTTGATCCGGCACCCCTCACTTTAAGGTACAGGTCCCGGGTTCGAATCCAGCGGCCCTGCATTCGAACCCGACATACAAATGGGCTTTTTTCAAAAACATCGGTACCCCGAGGGTTCATACAACCTCGTAGTTGAAATACCTTCGTTAAAAAAAAAAGAAAAAAAGGCCTCAAACATCATAACCATATTTGAAGACCAAATGGAAGAAATAATGTACGCAAGGTGCAAAAATGAGGGTGTAATGTGCCTACTTTACTAAACATTATTTTATCTATGTATCTATGTACTTATTTTAATATAGTGTTCATTCTTTTTGTCAACATAGTGCAATAATGTTGTATTGGAAAAAAAATTGAAAAAAAAGATAGGGAGAGAGGGGGTGAGATATGCCTAAAAGAAGAGTAAAATATATTTTTTAAATTAATTTTATTATTTAAACAGTATTTTTTGAATCACCTTTTATTTCAAAACAAACGATAGAACTGTTATTTAAATTTAATCCCGTTGAATACAACCAGTTCCTTTATGGAAAAAACAAAACCATTTACGTCAATTTGTAAAATTATTACAGCCTCAGAGCGGCGTGTCCTATTTTCTGTGAGAAATCAAGAAAGCTCGAAATGCGGTTAAATTGTAAGCTTTATTCATATTTAAAACTGGGGAATGAAATATCACCGGGAATAATTTCCAAGAACGACCAGGAGGGATTTAGTAGGCCGCCCAAAAATGGCTATCTATTATTCAGCCTTTCATTTTTTTTGCCACTACTTCATCTTCGCCATTCACGATAAAGAGATACCTAATTCATGTACCTGATTTATCAAATTTGAAGAGGGTTCTGATAAATTTCTCTTGTCAGCTTTTGCTTTATACACTTATGCTTATTCTATTGTTATTAGTCATTAATTGTTTTAAACCAATGGCTTAATAACCTCTTCTCTAACTTATTGTCTGTTATAATCAGTCGTCGATTTAGCAATTATTATCCTCATAGGAACTCTTCAGCAAATTTTAATAAATAAAAAAATGGGAGCAGGATGGCGAGTAAGGAGGGTGAAGGCAAATCGACGTTATGAGTAAGCATAAGTATATCTGGGTATGTTCTTCCCGCCCAAATTCTCCTGACATCTCGCCTCCATAAAAAAATGTATACCTCCAAATTCGCAATCAATTTGGCCTGGACCGACCCTCTCTCAAACTCTCCTATTTCACCTAAAATTCAAGGTTATTTAGGCAATGTGTCGTTTTATGGTGCGCTATGTGCAAAATTGAGGTGCCTAAGTCATAAATATCATTTTATCTATGTAATTATTTTAAAATAGATTTCCTCCTCTTTGTCAACACAGTCAGTAATCTTTATGTAAGGTATTGGTAAAAGAGTCAGTGTCTCGAGCGGGATTCGAACCCACGACCTTCGTGGGTGTATTTTTTCATTAATAAATAAATTTTAGAGACAAGTCATTATTTATGATAATTTTGTTTTCTTGGTTGAGAAAATAACATTCACTCATTCCAATTAATTATTCTTTTTATATAAGGGCTTGGTTGAGATGAAAAAGTTAGTGTCATGAACGGGATTCGAACCCATGACCTTCAGCTAAATACGTCGCTGCTCTACCACTTGAGCTATTGTGAGCAGAGGCGTATTTAGTCGAAAGTCGTGAGTTCGAATCCCGGTCGTGACACTGACTTTTTTATCTCAACCAATACCTTACATAAACATTAATTAATTGAAAGAGGTTATTTGGTCAATCGGACCACGAAATCTAACGGATTTAACAGTCAGTAATGATGTTATGAAAATTTGGAAAATTGAATTGTAACGGAGAAAAATGGAATTTGGACAGGTCCAACCTTCCCTTAAACT